AGACAGACAGACAGACAGACAGACAGACAGACAGACAGACAGACAGACAGACAGAGACAAAGCGAGAGAGAGAGATGAGAGAATGAAAAAGAGAGAGACGGAAAAGGAGAGTGAGAGAGAGAAAGAGAGAGTGGGGGGAAGGAGAGAGTATGGGCACCTCTGGGTTGTTAGACGAAAGGTCAGAAGAAGAAGAAGAAGAAGAAGAGAGAATTACTTTTAAAAAATTGATCCATGAGAGAATAGGGACCGATTAATAAAGAACCTTACGGACAGACAGACAGACAGACAGGCAGACAGACAGAGCAAGAAAAAAATACCACCCTCTCGTCCAGTATTCACAATAACATCTGCCAGAACAGATCGCGAACACGCATAAAAAGAACTGGTTTATTACCCATAAAAAAAATGTTTTAACATAATGAGATGATATTGCAAGCTAAGAGGAAATTGTTTCTCATAAGAAAGCAATATCAATGACGTCACCCTGAAGGCATGATGCCGGGGACCAAAAAATAAAAATATAAACAAACAAGCAAAAAACACCGGCGAGGAATGCACACTCCTAAGTACAAAATATCACCACATCCCCCCCTCTCCCACATTTACACACAAAAAAATATAATAAAAAAGAAAAGAAGAGATTATCTAATTAAAGGAATAAAGCATGTTATTTTGTTTTTGAGTAACGACATGAAAGCAACAAGAAAGCGACAAGTGAAGGCGACGACAAGAAGTTTTACTCACTCAACAGGCGAATCTGGTCCGCGTGCTATTCTGTTTACCGAGCCTCGATGTGGCTGTGCCCCCAGCCTCGCTCTGAGTTGGGCTGAAGACAGATAGAAGTGGCTTGCGCCTTCCTCTCTCCGCTGCCTCACGGTGGATTGAGCGCGCGCTTTGGTTCGTCTGCTTCGACTAGGAGGATGGAGATCGTTTGCTCAGCGTGTGGGTGAGTACACGGGGTCGTACAGACGGGGTGGGGGGGTGGCTGGGTTGAAGACTTGAATATGTCAGATAGGAATGAGAGAAAAATGAAGGGGGTTGACGATGGTGGACAGAGAATGTTAAGATATAGGAAATATAAGAGTGGCTTTGGGGTGGG